CTTTCCCATTTTTATCTCTAATCTGCATCCCGCTGTCTTCCTGATATTGGTGCAGTCCTCAATTTATTACCACCTCTGAACTAAAACTTTCTAAACATTTATGACTGACTTTATTATGTTTGATTCTCTGTTATTTAAAACTATTAGGAAATTAGATGAATTTATTCTGGGCCTTATTAAATCATCTTGGTTTGAACCAAGGGTTGTATGAATTAAAATTTTTTAAAACACTGAGTTTTAAAATTAATTGCTGCTGACAAGCACAATAAACATAATTGAGTGTGATAAAAAACATTGGCATGACCTGAGAAGAGGCTGCTATAATTACCAATAGTGGGGAGGAGCTGGAATTGCCCAGGAATCTTCAGGACACAGAATTCTGCTTGTAGAAGGCCCAAATGGCTGTTTGAGCCATTGGGAAAGAGAACTAGATTACTTCACAGCAATACAACTTTAGTGCCAATTAAAACTTTTATTTATTTATTTATTTTCAAAGTGCATGTGAATCATTTTCATTACGCTCTGTGTTTTCTTTTAAAAGGACTGATTGGCTCCTACTGTAAAATGGCAATGTCTGGCTGGACTAAGAGTCATTTTTCTTTTTGGATCAGTGTGCGTTCTTATTAACCAGACTTACCTGATTCTGATTTGATGTGCATTCAGCCATTTCATCATGTTATGTAAGTAAAGCATTGTGGGTTCTTCTTCCTTTTCCAGGTGGCCTTTTTGAAGATGTAACTGTGGAGGCCGAAGCATTCCTCTCCCCAGCATGGTGCTTACCGAAGGCTGGCAGTTGGCCCACTGGGCAGTGATTACAGAGACTAAAACCAGAGCTACAGAATGAGAGCACTGCTTTGAAGTTTTGAGTTTACTTGCTTACATATATTCTCTAGGAGAAGAGTTAACTTTAAAACTTTGAAAAACCAAGGCTGTGAAGAAAGTCACAGTAGCAACTTGAAATAAGTATAGGAGTTACATCTCTATTTCCCACAGAGAGGAATATTTAAATATGTGCTGTGTCAGCACCACCTGGAAGGATATTAGCTAGTGGAGACCCATCTGTCCTGCGTGGAATGCAGTGAGGGACTTCCGTTGGTGGAATTGAATGTTAACTGCTGTATATCCTAAGAAATAAAGTCTCAAAGAACTCAGTTTTGTTTAAAACAAATTCTTTAAAAGAAAAGATAGAATTTTGTATACCTTATTCAGAGCAGATGTTTGTTGAATGAGTGATTATCAAATTAAAGGGTTTCCATTTACACAAACCTGCGTGTGTTCCTTTTGTTCTTTATTTCTTTACCAGATACTCTTGTAAATCAATCAGTATACCTCACTGGCATCTTGTTACAGAGTTGTGGTAATCCTTATGTGCCAAAACTGGTGATGAGGAAACCACTGAATGAGAACGATGGAGCTAGAGGGAACCCTACAGAGCATAGACCAGCTCCTGATTTTACAGAGAAAGTTTGAGATGCCTGTACTCACACAGTAGGAGTAAAGCTGAGACTGGAGCCAGGTAGGTCCTCCTTTCCCACTCTGCATTCAGAAGGAAGGTCTCTGGGTTTGCAGCTATATTTGCTGTCAATCAAGCCTAATGGTGTTAATCCTAGCCTACAGAACACCAGTACCTCTGTATTCAAAAAAAATCCCTTCGTTTCCTGCCCCCTATTTTCTAACTTAACACAGGTGTCACTGGCATTGTGACTTGGTGCACATTTCATGATTTCTTGTAGTTTAACCAAGACACATGTCCTACTGTTAAGTGGCTAGTCAGGCATGAGCAACAGGAGAACAAAGGAATAGAGGCCCAGACTAGAGACCACCCAAAGACCACCCTATTGGCAGTTAGAGAATCCCTCCTGCATCTCCGGAGGCAAAGGACAGGAGGGCCATAATCTTAGCTGGTTTAATCCAGCCACTGACACCTGTGTAGAAGGTACTACCCTAATCTGCCCACAATCTAAGCCTCATTATACTGTCATTATAATACTATGTTTATACCTGGAAGTTCATGAATCTAATTATAGCATACTGAATTCTAACACTAGGCAAAGTGTTATACAGCAGCCAAGTGTAAATCAAAATGACCTCACGTGTCAATCACCTAGGAATGCCTTTGGAACCACCCATCGTGACATTCCCACTTCTGGGGGGTTAGAGCTCTCTTCGCTAAAACCATGTTCCTCCTTGGACTATGGTTTGTATTTTTAAAATATGTTTTTAATAAATCTTTTCTAAATCTCATTGACCTGTGATTCTTCACTGCGTCATTGAGGAAGAACAGAGGAAAAATGCTAATTACACTTCTGCGCCATTATCCCCACCCCTGCCGTTGAGGTGACACCAAAGTTCAAATCGCCCCCCAACGGTAACACTACCAGCAAGGCAGTGGTGTAGCACTCATTTCTGCACCTGGTGGACTGACATAGGAATAAAACCCATCTGTTTAATCCTGCAGAGTCATTTTATTAACCACAGTTTGAAACATTGAAGTTCTTAGTATTATGTCCGAGACTCACAGCCATAAAGGAGAATTAGTTTGGCTACACTTAAGCTACTAAGTTCCCAAACGCCATGCTGACTTTTCATGCTTTAGATTTCTGTAGGTTTAGAGCAGGGTTTCTCAGCCTCAGCTCTATTTACATTTTGGGCCAATAATTATTTATTGTGAGAGACTATCCTGTGCTGTTGGTGGAAAAAATCTTTTACCCTACACCCTCCTAGGTTCAAAGGCTGTGGCTTGCAAATCAAACTGATAAAAGACAGTAACAGGAAAAAAAAAAAAAAGTTAAATTACATATATCCACAGGAGTTTCAAAAAGAAATAAGACTAAGAAATGGCCAGATGATTGAGGTTTATATACTATCTTAAGCAAAGGAAAAAGAGGTTTGGGCTTCTGGACTGAGAGAGACAAGTTATGAGAGTAAGGGGAGGAAATGTGTGGTTAATGAGGGTTGTCTTGTTATGCAGATAACAGTGTCTCCGGATGACAAGAGCTGTCTCTAGGAATAGCTCTCTCTTCCTGGTACAGAGAAATCTTTACAAATGGAAATTTCCTTTATAAAAGAGGAAATTTATACTTTATTTTTAGGCTGTTAAGGGAAGATAAAAAGCTTTTCTTGCCTCTACTGGTTCTCAATTGTCTTTAGCTTAAAATAATTCTTATACCAAAGTAACATATTTTGGGGTGACATTCTGGTCCCCTTCAATTCATTAGAAGATGTTTAGCAACAACCCACCAAATGCCAGTAGCAACCTCCCAAGTTGTAACAACCAATAATGTCTGCAGAAATTTTCCTAATTGCAAAATCAAGCCCAGTTGAGAACACTGCTATAGTAGATGTGTCTGAGAAACAAGATTTGGTGAGTGATGGGTTCAGAGAAGGCTGCCCCCCAAAATGCCTTTTTGTCATATTGATTATTTTGAATTAATTACTTAAGAAACAGCCAGTGCAAGATAGACACTCTGACTCTCCTTTCTCCCCCTGAAATAAATCTACCCTGTGAAAGGTACTCTCTCTGTACCTTACCTAAGGAAGTAGATACATCCTTATTACCAGCGATAATGCATTCTGGGCTGAAGAGCCTGCATAAACAAACCTTATTACTTCTTTTCTAATTTACCACCCTAAAACCAACTCCTTTGTCTTGTCACTTCTTCACAAATACATTATTTCTTTGTCTAAAAGGTATAAAAGCTACCTGCTTTGGTCACGTCTTTGAGTTTCATATTTCTATGAGCTCCCATACATAAAAAAATTATTTTTTTCTCTCATTAATGTCTTATGTTGTTTTAATTATTAGGCCAGCCAAAGACCTAGTAGGGGAGGAAGGAAGAGTTTTCCTTCCCTACAACTGCCTATAGTGTGTATTTCCAGTGATACAGCCATTACAAGATATGAAACTTTTTCTGGGATGTGGCCAAGCCTTAATATGCTATTATTTTCACAAACGAATGCTGATGAATACCTTTGTGTGTGAATATTTCTTGAGTTTAGTTTATATTGCTCTAATGTTGGAGACTGAAATAAATTAGATGAAGCAGAGTTCAGCCTGTATATAAAATAAGATCTTCTGCTGAGATAGTTTATCTCCCTCTAGAAAAGAAAGCAGTCGTTCCCATACTAATATTTGCTTACAGTTTAGGTGGTGAAGGTGCTCATGATTCAAAAGATAACTCTACCACTTGATCCAGCTAGAATATTCTAATTTACTAACCTTGTCTCTCTAAGCAAAATCAAGTTGAGTCAAATGCAGTTAGACCCCTTCAGCTCTGTCTGGGGCCTTAGAAGGAACAAAGCCAATGAGAGCTAAGTCTATCTCTGTTCTGATGGCACAGGTGGGGCGTGCAGATGGAATGGCTGTGAGAAGCTATGAGGGAGGGGCAGAAGTAAGAGGTCACACATATGACTACAGAATGCAGCTACGGTGGGTGAAGTTGTGTCTGTCATGCAACTTACAGTCTTGTCCCGGTGAAGTTCCCAAGCTCAAGAGGCCTCCATCGGTTCTCTGAGGAATAAGAAAGGAGGGCCACACAGATGAGCCAGTGCCCAAAGTCAGGTGTTGACATCTGGTCACTGAGCAGTGAGGTTATATGAGGGTAACATATCTAAATCTGTGAGGATATACTTTATGGCTACAGGGAGTGGAGAAAGAAGGGAAATGGTAGGCTTTTTATCTATCTTTTTTCTCTTTGTCTAAATAAAGAGAAAATTTCTCTCTTTCTCTCTCTCTCTTTCTCCCTCCCTCCTCTCTCTCTCCCCGCTATTGAAAATTTCTGTTGACCATCCATTTTGTCGAACCAATTTCTTAAGTTTGTTCATTTAATGTGTATTTATTGAACACCTACTATATGCCAGGCATAGTTATGGGTACTGTAGATAGAATCAGTAAAACAAAGTACCTACCCTCATGGAAGTAACATTCTCATGGGCGGACGGGGGCAGACAAAAAAGAGAAATACTGTATTTTATTATAAAGTGCTATATTATATCATAAAATAATTTCTGAAAATAATAAGTACAATAAGAAAAAGCTGGGTAAAGGGAGGCATGCTATTTCAGACAGCGATGTCTAAGTTGAGCTTAAAGTGTATGTATACTTTTGATACCATATAGGAACACAATATTTCAATTCTATCAAGAGTGACTGTGGAGATACATTATTAAATGCCAACACGCTGAATAGAAACCACAGCCTTACAGCATTTTCTCAAAAGTAGCTTGACTAAACAAGGATATACTAACATTAGCAAAGCTTGATTCAACTGACTGCAGAAAATTCTATTAGAACCAGGTACTCAGATGTAATTGGCCTTGCACTAACCACTTTGCTAATTAAGCCCCATCAGAAGCACCTGTAGTAAAAAGTGCTGACAAGATTAAATGGTTTACAAGATAAATAAAGCCAGCTTAGTTGTTGTCCCTGGAACATTTGTTTTTGTTCTCAGAGAATAACAAAGATTAAT